TTGACATCTAATGCAGAGGAAATCAGTTCTCACTATTTCAAAAGTAGTTAGTTACGGCCAAAGCAAATAGTTAATAAATAGTTACCACTAATATTTAATACAATATGCTCAAAAAATAAAAGTAATAAATAAATTAACTAATAAATTTTTTTACTAAAATTGCAATGATTTTCGAAAGTATTAGTCCTACATAATTTGGTATATGGACACTTTTTGTAGAAAATCGAAGTTAGCTAAGAAACTATTTTTTTTTAGTACTTGAACTTTGATAGACTTGGGCGAGCCTAGGATATTGCCCAAAAATTGTCACATTTCACACGGATTTTTTTAGAACATAATGAACCATAGGTTTGCTATTACCAATTCAAATTCTAAAAAAGCGGGTTTTCAGCCCACGCTAATATGTAAGTGTATGCTAATAACCAGGGAACGTATTTTATGGAAATTGCCCTTTTTTCTGCTAAAGAGATAGAGTATATTCGATTAAGAATGTCCACGATTTAGCTTTCCCTGATTCCATATATACACATTTGATGTTGCCTTTTTTGCATTTTTTAAGATATTTGCCTTTTTTCGCCTTTTTTAAGATATTTGCCTTTTTTTGCCTTTTCTACCTTTAAAAAAGTGATTACAGCATTTGCAATTTTTTTTTAAGATTAAAAAATATACACATGCCCATGCGGCTTATAGAAGCGCAGGGACCTCTTGCCAAATTGGTGTTGGAAAAATCCAAAGCCGTTTTCTCAGCTAACGTAGGCTTGGGACAATAAGGGGTGGGGATAAATTTGTAAAGGGCGAGGAAAAAGCCCTTATTCCTGATAATATGAACGTTTCAAACGTTCCATATTTAAATTGGGCTCCACTTGTATCAACTAACGTCGAGCGCACGTTTAGTACATTCAAGGCTTTTCTTCGCGAAAATCGAAAATCGTGGTTCATTGTTCAACTATACAGATTAAAGTTTTATGAGTTAGAAACTCGAAAGGATAAAATAGTCAAAGATTCAAAGTACAAATTTTTCATATAATGAAACTAGTTCATAGTTTTTCTCTTTTCACTTGTAATATAAATTTCTAAAATAAATGTATTTTTTGATTGTTCTTCGTATTTTCTGCCGTTTTTTAGTGCCTTATTCTGCTTTTTTTGCAATACCTAGTGCCTTTTCCTGCCTTTTTCTCTATTTTCTTTTGCCTTTTTTGCAATACCTGGTGCCTTTTTCGTTATTTTATTTTGCCTTTTCCAGCCTATTTCGTTATTTTATTTAGCCTTTTTTATAGGTTTTTAGGTTCTAAAAATCCGTTCCCTGCTAATAACCATTAATGGGACTACGGGGCGTATGATTTACTACGATTTTAACATTGAGTTATGCCGTACGAATGGACAGAAACGCTCCAGTTCTGAAAGTATTCACCACGAGTCGCGATGCTGGAAGAGAGGAACAGGAAGGCCTCCTCTGCGGTTGAAGGACCAGGTGGGAAAGGGGACCGAGCATTTGCAATTGGCGTCAGTCGGCAGCGAAGGGAAAGGACTGGCGTGCTTAGTTGGATTCTGCCAAAATTGCCGAGGCGTGTAAGAAGAAGACCACTTGAACTGATCGTCGATAATTTTGCAAGGTATATCAGTGCGAACTACTATAATCCTTATACTGGCATATACCTACATACTTTGAAAAAAGTCCTACATAAAATCCTATATTTGTCCATGTTACGGTTAGTTATATTTTAAAGTATGATTAAATAGGAAAATTAATTTCTCTTTAGATATATTAGATTGCAAGCTGGAATTTGGCACACTGTCTAACACAAAAAAAGGACCAGATTGTTACAAATAATTGTTTTTAAATTGGTTTCTTTTTTAATAACACAATTTTTGTTCTCTTTGTTTCCGACAGGGTAGGAGTGTGATGTAATGTGGAACGATTTTCGTCATCCTTTGTCAGATTTGGTTTGGAGACAAACCGGTTTCGGCGTTGTGCCATCTTCAGTGTCATTTTTCGTTCGTTATGTTCGCGTGGTATTCACGCTACAATAAAAAGAAAAATATGCGAAAATATAGGTCCATCGATTTCCTATAAACGAAGTCAGAAAGTAAACCTGGAACAAAACTTTGTTAAGTTGTAGGTAGGGTTGAGCACAACTAGAGCTGCAGCAAACCGTGGATATTCGTTACCGAGTAACGAGTACAACCCCTGACTCGGAGCACCAAAACGTTTTTCACATAATAATCTCGGTACTCGCGTTTGACATATATGCCCCATTAAACGAATCAATACAGTTCTCAGAGTAAAAATGAACGTTTATTTACATATCACCACATCGATATCACCATACACGTCGTGTTTTGTTGCTGAATATAGTATTCTTTTATATGGGTGATCGCGATGTATCTATGCAGAAAAAAAAATCAATTGATAAAAAAATAACCAATTATAGTTGGCTTTTTTGCGGAATTTCGATAAATAACTAACTTTTAATTAGCTATGACAAAACTAACTTTAAGTGAGTTGTAAAGTCGTGCAGAAGTGAAGCAGACGTTTCCGGAAGTTTGTTTTCTCTAAACAAGCTTCTATTTAAATATGCTCATACAAAAAATAATTTGAATACACTTTTTTTCTGCACTTCGCAGATAAAATACGAATAATAAACAAAATTCTATTCAACAGTGACAACAAAAACAAATAAACAAAATGTAAAAAAAAGTAAAGGTCGAAATTTTATATTATCATTTTGATATCATGTCTGATGGAATTCAGAGTAAGTGACAAAAGAACATGTAAAAAATATTTACTTATTTTTTGTAATGTCAAATAAAGTAAAAAATATTTTTATTTGTATATTATGCTATAAGTTAGCTGTCGTCTACTGCAGAGGAAATCAGTTTTCACTTTTGTGCGGCCTTCGCTGTTCAAAAGTAGTTAGTTACGGCCGAAGGAAATAAGTAATAAAGCGGTACAACTAGTTGACTGCTGTCGTCTAATGCAGAGGAAACCAGCTTTAACTTTTGTGCGGCCTTCGCTCTTCAAAAGTAGTTAGTTACGGTCGAAGGAAATAAGTAATAAAGGGGTACAACTAGTTGACTGCTGGGTAGTTATAAGTTAGCTATAAACTGGCCCCGTTTTCGGCAGAAGTGTTGCACCAGCAATTTTGCATTTGTTCGAACGGTTACAAAGTGTGTTGCATGTATAAGTATGTATGCACATTAGGGTGGCCCAAAAACAGTAAAGTCGGAATTGTAATACTCTCACCCCCTGGGATTGTTCTATATCGGAAAAAGTATACCCCTATTTTTTATTTAGAAATCAAAAAATATTTAGAGGTCGCTCAAAGCGCTCAAAATTTTCCATGTATTTTTAAATGGGAAAAATAAAATTTTAATAGAAATGGTATAGAATTCTTGAAAATCAATATTTTTCGAGTGGAAAAATCTGGTTCTCTTCAGGATACTTTCAATAATAATACCCATTTTTTATTACTAACGATTGTTTCTGGTCGCCCCATTGCATTTTTCGGGGTTTTCTGGGTTTTTGGCGGACCTATAAATTATAGGGCTATGAAAAAATGGTTAAACAAACAATTGGGTATTGTTGTTGGGAATCTGCTGCAGACAAACAGTGTTTTCTGGTAGAAAAATATTGATTTTTAACTATTGTATATCATTTCTACGAAAAGTTGTTTTTTCCCCATTATAAAATACATTGAAAACTTTGGGCGCTTTGAGCGACCTCTAAATATTTTTTGATTTAAAAAAAATAAGGGTATATTTTGTTTCGATATAGAACAACCTTTCCGACTTTACTTTTTCACATGCATTTTTGGACCACCCTAATGTGCATGCGTACATATATATGTATGCATATATGTTGATATTTTTCACAAGGCACATAAGATGGCGACATAGTTCTTTATTATGCGGTTTTACAAATAAAATGTCCAACAATCAACAAATTAAATTCGATTTTATCAAATTTTGATAGTGAACAATTGCTTTATTTTTGAATTGTTCGTTGAATAAAATTGTTAATCCAAACGAACATAAAGCTACGAGATACGTTTTGATGATTCGTGTGGGGTACAAGTGCTTGATTGTATCAAAAGTAACGAGCAAAGTAACGATACAAAAGTAACGGGTTTTGATTGGATTAGTAACGACCACATACGGCTATCCCACATTTTTTATAAATCAATCGCATTCCTGGCTAGTATATTTCAGGACGAATGTATAAGGATTGAGCCAAGAGCTGGTGTGAGCAAATCCAATTTTTGGCTGCAAATGTCAGTTAAGTGGTTTTGCAAAATGACGATACGCGGTTTTGTACTTTTATATTTTTCGCGTAGTATGGCTAAGGAATTTATCAATATTTAATTAAAATTTATGTGCAAAAAAATGAGTTTGCATAACATTTTTGGAAAAGCGGATTTTTGCGACCGCTGACAGAACATCTGCTCTTTGTGTGCCCGATTAAAGAATTTTTGATAGAAGTCATTAAAGTTTGCTATTTGAATGTTAATGCAAATTAGTTCCTTCTATTTGAAGGTTTATATAACTAGTACAGCTACTTCGAATACCACTACCAAAATATAAAAAATACATTAAAGTAAATAAATCGGTGGAATTTATGTATATTAATTAGGTTCAATAAGCTTTCTAATTGCATTTTTGAAAACTAAATATTTTATTAAAAGAAAAACAATGTTATATAAATTTTCGACACTTGGATCTCGTAACGTAAGCCAAATTTATTTTAGTGTTTTTGACAATTTTCGTCAAGTTTCATAATGGCCGTGAAAGTCGTTTAGGTCCTAGACCGGTTACTGCAGTCATTATACCATTCTGGCAGTGCTGAACCCGTTAGAAGGCTCTTTTGCAGTGCTGCCATCGGTCTAGCATTAAACTTGCCTAAGTTATTGTGCATTCTTATTCAGCTACGATTCGTTTGGTAAAGTAACAAAATATTATATTTGGTGATACCGAAAAGATGTGAATCAGTGTTCAAGACTCACCTTCAAAATCAGCAGAAAACCCGCGAAACCCTTTGTTGGCATTTCGATTAACATAGTTGATGAGCATCCGGCTTGAGGTGCTTTTTATTGTTTCTGCAGTAGCGTTGCCACAAAGTCTCTTAATAACGGGTGATCTGTACCAATAACCGTCGCGTATTTCCAAATAATCCGTAGAACAATCTGTGGACTTTAGCAAATGCTAGAATAAAGATAGAAAAATGTTACTTATAAATATTTAACCTAAATACATGCATACGAGTACTTATTTGCTGCAAAAGTGCAATAATAAAAAAAAAAACGAGAAAAATCGAGAATAACGGCTTTAAAGTTTACAGTTTACAAATACATAAAGCAGAACACACTCGGGAGTTTTCCCTTCCAAAATCTTGGGAAGATCTCCAAATTCACCAGTAGTAACCTAAAGAGATTTATCGGAAAATCCAATTGGACGATCCCAACGAATCATGAAAGCATATAAAATCAAAAATTCCGGAGAAATCGTATCAAAATTGTGCTATCAGCACTAATCCCGGGAATGTAATCAGGCGACGCTTCTACCAACCAACCAACATACGCCCCCCTTGTGACAATGAGGGCACATTTTCCATTTTCCATTAACCAGTTAGCGACAATTTTCGGATCGCTATTGCACTTGTTGATGCAACAACATTGATATCATGAAGAGCTGACGGAATGTGCTGTACACTTAACTCAAAAAGCTTCTCCTTTTTGGGTTATGACACTTTTGCAGCAAATGAGAGCGATATGTGTCTATTTGACAGATTCAAAAACACACGAGAAAATCAACTTTTTGGAATTTTCCTACTGTCAATAATTTAACTGAAAAATGATTTTTCATTTCCGTCAGTTTCCATAATAAATAAAAAAAAATATGAAACTGGCTCTAAATAAAATAAAATACACGTGTATATTTAAAATAAATGGAAAATTCGTGGACTTATAAGCATATGTAAGTACATATGTGCCAGTGTTCGTATGGAATAGTAGCTTAAATTGAGATACTTTAGTGTTCATATGTTCATATTTTTGGCTTAGTAAAATTTTTAATTTTTATGCTCTTTTATTTAATTTTGCTTGTTTACAAATATCAGCTGTTTGTTTGGCAGTTCATGTATCATACCGTTTCTAAGACGTAACTGTTGGACCCAACAGTTGACAGCATTTCCGCTACAGTTGGGGTAAACAATTGCATCTTAGAAACGCGCCCATTCAAAGCTTTGTCAGCACCATCAAATGTTAACCAATCTCACAATAAAAAATTACAAATGAGTCTCCTTATTTTCGGTATTATTTAGTTCTGGGGGTGGCCGGAGTTTTGTTGGACCACCCTAATGCATTCATATATAGCATTTTCAGTTTAAATGAAACTTTTTTCAAATTAAATGAAACCTTTTTCAGGTTAAGCGAAACCTTTTTCAAATTAATTGAAACCTTTTCCAGATGAAGCGAAACCTTTTTCAAATGAAATGAAACCTTTTTCGGATTCAATGAAACTTTATTCAAATTAAATGAAACTTTTTTCAGATTCACTGAAACTTTATTCAAACCAAATGAAACTTTTTTGAAATTAAATGAAACTTTATTCAAATTAAGTATTAAACATTTTTAAATTAAGGAACAGGAAATCAACTTAACCTATTAATAGCCGTTTCCGCCATGTCTGGCTAACACTAAAGGCTCTGTTATGCATATTTGGCATTGCTTGAGAGTTGTCACATAAGGAATCTGTTAAATGAGCTTCGCGTGTAAGCTGTTACCCAACGCACAGCATTACATACGTAGAAGTCTGTTGGTTTTTGATTTCCACGTAAAAACACACACAAATACTCTCCCTTCTCACTCACTCGCTTAAGCGAAATGTAAACTTTGGCATTTGCATAACAATTGTCTAATTATTTTCTTTTAATTTAAACAAACCCTATGGATTAGAGCACAGTCTAATCACGGCAACATTCAACTTCGGTTCAAGAATAATTTTGACATGTCCCATTTCTCTTTTCCTTTTCACATCATCCTTTACATGTACTCCCGAAAACAGAGATATTTGAAGTTTTATAAAATGAATAAATTATATGATTTGCCTAGTTACCAAAACCCCTCGAAAATCACAGCAAACCAACCAACCTACCAGAGCTTTATTTTAAGAAATGAAACCACCAATTTTGGTCCAATTGGACCGAAACGGCAACACTGTATTTAACATGCCTTGACCGTAAGGGAGAGCAACACGTAACAGCTAATTCAAAGTAATCCAAAAAAGAAGTTTCATTTCATTTGAATAAAGTTTCATTTAATTTGAAAAAAGTTTCATTTAATTTGAATAAAGTTTCATTGAATCTGAAAAAGGTCTCATTTAATTTGAATAAAGTTTCACTGAATCTGAAAAAGGTTTCATTTAATTTGAAAAAGGTTTCGCTTAACATGAAAAAGGTTTCATTTAATTTGAAAAAGGTTTCGCTTAATTTGAAAATGGTTTCATTTAAACTGAAAATGCTATATATCGCCACCAGAGTGGAAGATCGACCCATATCGGCAGCCAGTTCGAAAATGCCCTTTCTCAGAAAACTTTTCAAGAACGCCCTCTTTTAGAATTTGATTGAAGAACGTCCTATTTTTATTCGGAAATACATTGAAAATTTGCTGAGATAGGACGTTTTTGAATCGGCATTCTGAGATAGGGCGTTATTCAATAAAATTTTGAAATAGGGCGTTCTTGAAAAGCTTTTTGAGATAGACCGTTTTCGAACTAGCTGCCGAGATAGCTCGATCTTCCACTCAGGTATCGATATGTGCTTATTGAAAAAAGTCAAAAATTAGAAATTCCGCTGCCGAATATAAGAAAAAAATAAAGCGGCTTATACCTTTGCAATCGATTTAAAGATTCCTTATCAGGCGACTAGTAACACCAAGCGCCTAAATGCTTGTTGTGCACTGCTGCATGTGAAAAATTTCGTTTGTGCACTTCGTCATATGCACTTCTCAATTGTCATATAATACAACTTTTTTAAGTTATATTTTGATGACACTTCAAAGGATGCTCGGCCTAGTCTCAAGCTTCCTACAGACAAGGCTTCGGGAGTTTGTACTTCATGTTGATATGCGAATAAATATGTTCGATTCACACTTACCACTTGGTGTATTTGTAATATGATACGTTCCCCATTTGTCGCTGTGATACGCCATTCGCATCTCTCTAGCGATTTGTCAAAATCACTGACCTCATAATCACCACTTCCGTCATCATCAACCGCATTATTGGCTTCCATTGCCGCATAGGAGTATTCATAATGCGGTGATACTATCTGTCCAGAATGCTCCTGAAATGTGCGTCCACAACTGCTGCACTTATACAAAAGATTTGCTTTAACGATGTCACCTGGACTTAAACGCAGCCGCTGTCCGATTTCAATGTGTTGAGGTTTTGACAATCCAATTGGCTGTATCGTTTCCAAATAAACATTCTTGGCAAAGGTATTCTTTGCATAATGCATAATGGAATTGTAGTCGTATGGTAATCCCAGTGAGTCGACATCTTCCGGCGAGAGTACATCGAAATTATACTCTTGTCCCTTCATGATGTTATCCTTATTGATATTTATATGCTTATCGCGATCCGTGCGTGTATGCTCGTGCCAAAATCCAACAACATGTCCAAGTTCGTGCACTACAATTCCGAATTTTTCGCAATTACGGCCAATCGAAATGGCTTGACGCCCAGTTCCCCGCTTGCCCACAAACGAACAGCAACCACAATTCTTAACCGTGAAGTATATATAGTTGGGATGTATTTTGGAATCGCGTTCCACAAATTTTATACAAGTGAAGTTCTCCCAATGGCGCATGGCCTTCATGAAGAGTGCCTTATGTGTGCCACTGAAGATGTCGTCGATTTCGTATGGTATTACACCGTAATCCCAGATGCGCTCCTTTTTAGCGGTTACTGCACGTCGTGGGCGTGAAACTGCATTTAAATATGAAACATTTAGGAGATGATGGAATGAGTGTGGTTTAGATTTATGATTTTGTTTAAATTTGTTGTTGTGCCTATGAAGAATAACAATGTTAAGTCGATGGTTATGTTTGGAAGGGTTTAGGAAAGCTTACAGAACTTTTTACCTGCTTTTCGCTTCGTTATGAGAGTGGGTTTTCGTGCGCCGCTTGTTGTGCCTTTTTCTAGTCGGTAGCCGTTTGCCTTTAAGTTGTTTGAACAAACGCCTGAAAATTGTGAGAATTTTATGTAATTGGTATAAATACAGACCTATTTGGTAATAGTTTTACTACAAAATTCTATAGTAATACTTAATATAAAGTTTCGAATAGTTTGTGTCTTTAAGTTATCACGCAATTAAGAGGATCAAGAGTTTTACGTCGCTTTGGATCGGCACACTTAAGGTCGTACGATACGCGGTAACGATATAAGCAAAGGTTCTCAAACAGGCGCGGTGCGGTATAGTGCGGTACAGCAAGAAGCATTGTTGCCACGCGAAGAGCGGTTAGCGGCACTATACACTATTTTGTAACGCATTCGTCTTTCTAAATTTATATTTATTACTGAAATTTTTTCTCAACTTCAATTTGAAGTTTTTATCATGATTTTTTGTTAATATTAATCTAGTATTATTAATTTATTAATCTAATGTGATAGAACTCTAGCTCTTAACAGCAACTCTGCTGACGAGATATCTGCTTATACCGCGCGGTCAACTGTGCACGCTGCGGTATAGTTATGTACCGCCTTGTACCACACTTCCAATACCGCGTCTGTTCAAGTGCTCCCATATATCGCCATGGTATTTGATACCGCATATCGTACGGGATTATACCGCACTGTACCGTACCGCGCCTGTTTGATGAAGTCTTTATATAAAGACTATAAAGATACCAGATCGAAAAGAACCCGGAGGCGATGGCTCAGACGAAGGCGCTAAGAGAGTGTAAGGTGGCGGTTAGAAAAATTGAGATGTCCGTTTGCCGCCTGACGGGAGAGTTGGAGGACACGTTCATGAACGAGGTCACCAGCATGCTCCCATTAGCAACTACCACTGGGGTGCTGAATGTGGAAGAAAGGCTTCAGGTTCAAGAGTTTGCCCAAGCAATGGTAACACTCATTATTGTAATATTATACCCATATAAATTTATTTTCTTTTTTATAGACTTCGTATTTGAATAAAATGAAGGGGACATCAGAAGATGTCGGCACTGTCATTCGCGGCATCTTCACGGATGACCTGCTTCATAACTACAATTGGGACGGGACATGGGAGAAACAGGCGCTTAATAAACTTAATATTATTAATAATATTCTGTGAGGTACTTTCTTTAATCTACCAAATAAAAGCTATTTTTATAAGACATCTTTTTGCATTTCATTTCAGATGTATTCCAGAAACAAGGGGCCCTCAACTTCGAAAGAAGTGTGCGAAAGGCGGTGGAACTGAGCCACCATCGCGTTCAACAAAAAAAATATTTAAAAAAGGGGAAACAAAATTAACCTTTTTTATCTTTTAGTATCTTCTGCCTTAAGTTTAAACTATTTTGAAATAATATGCCTTTTAAGTTTTGTATAATTTAATTTCTTCTAATTAATTTAAAAACGTATGTATGTACATACATATGTAATAAATGTGAAATGAAAATTAATGTATGTATTAGATTTTTTTAAATATTCGGATCAACTGTGATGGGTATGTGCATCAAGCATAATTGCTCACCTGTGATAGGTTTGCACATCAAATATGATTTATGAGCCATGATAGGTTTATACATCAGGTGTGATCGGTCAACTGTGATATGTTCATACATCAAATTTCATTAATCAGTAGTGACAAGTCTGTACATCAAGTTTGATGGATCAGCCGTGATAGGTATCTACGTCATCGTTGACTGTCGAGATACGGTGGAGTAAGCAGTTCAGCTATATTTTAAATAAAGCCATAAAATTCATAAGTTGAAAGAAGATAAAAAATCACACGTATACATTTGTTTCCATCATTTTTTTCACATTGGCCTTAAGAACGTGATGGGAGTGCTTGATGGACATTTCCATCACCATTGAGTAACACATGATTAATCAAATGACTATCACTGTTCTTGCTGGGATATGTAAGTACATTTTACCGTACCACCTTACAGACAAAAAAACAGTTCGCCGCACACCTTCGTGTCTAAAGTATTAATGTAAGGAAATTTTGAAAATAATGTTCGGTGACACTGAGAAAAAAACGCGTTTTAAAAATGAAATTTTTTTATTTGATTACCATTTAAAAATGTTCGTATTTAAATCAAGTGAAAAGTGTTCAAAATTGAATATTTTCATTACACATGCACTACGTATCTTGGAAATATTCAATTAGTATTAAAATGAAGCATTTTTCACTGCACGGATGGCGTTTTGCACGTCTCGGATGCTTTTTCACATGTAATTAAGAAAGTATATAGGGGTATTCACGATCCGGTGCATACTGTCTAGCATGGTGCATAGATAGCATGATTGGCTAATTTTGTTGTTGTTTGAACACATGAAACAACAACAATCATGCTACTTATGCTATCTATGCACCATGCTAGACAGTATGCACCGGATCGTGAATACCCCTTATGTATACAAAGCATGCACAGCGGTGACAACACATACACACATACATGGCACATGTTTATCTGTACAAACCCTGCAGTCAAATGTACTAGTTGTAAACTACCTCACAACTAGTACGAACCGCATGCCCAACTAGTCAGCCAACTATCTTTTTTCCATGCAATCAACTGGTATTTTTAACATGGGGATGTCGTCTGAGATGACAACTGTCAGATTTTGGTCAGAAATATACCAGTCCCATACTAGTTCAAAATATACAGAAAAATACTGGTCCAATTATATTATGAATATACAATAAAAAACTTTTGATTAGTACACTTTTGATTAAGTACACTTTAATACATTACACATTTTTATTTAGGAGCCGTAGATTTTCCAATAATTAGTGTTAAATTGTTTGGGTGTTAATTAAAAGGGAAAATAAATAGATACATAAATATTTCAAACTTTCGAACATACATTTAAATGAATTTTTCATTAAACCTTATTAAAAGTAAAAGCTTTCAGGTACAATAAATACTATATTTTTATCTTTTTTAATAACATTGAATATGGAAAAGAAAACATTTTAGTTAAAAATTAAAGGAACGATTTTTGAGTGAACTAAAGTAATGATACAATTTTTCATTGAAATAAATTAAATTCATTAACTTTGCACATTTCAGTCCTTTCTTCTTAAAATTTTTTAATTAATGTTTAAAATTTGAGATTTGGATAAGAATAAAATAAGTAAATAATTCAAGCAGTTATTAAATGTTCTTATTTTTTCTGTACTTTGGCTTGTTGATTGATAATTGAAATTAATCAAATAATTATATTAATCGTGTAATTAAAAACAGTCAAAGATAATTGAAAATACTCAAAAACTACAAAATAATGATGTAATTCAAATTAACGAATTAATTAAACATTTTTGTTTAAGTAATTAATTATTAATCATTAAAAAGGTGCTAATATCGGTATTTAGTCATTAAGCGGTTATCCAAATAAACATGCTTTAATTAATAATCATTATGAATATTAATCATTATTTAACAGGTATAGTATAATGGCGAGTACGTACTCGCTTTAACGGTTTACAATATACCCAAATAAGAGTTATAATATTTAGTTTACTCTATTGTATTAAACTGTTGAAGTCAAATAACACAGGGCATGAATAAATCGTTTTGTACTTGGTACAAGTCTGGTAATTTTCGAACTAGTTCGGTTTCAGTCAGGAAATTCTAGTTCTAAACTAGTATTTTTCCTGACTAGTTTGGGGTTTCACTTCAGGGAATGCACTAATCGCGCAATGTGATGTTGATTCAAACTCAACATTTGAAAACACATTTACATGTATGGCTGTAGCTGAGTGTGCAAAGAGGCTTGATACAATTGGTTGCTACCAAGGTACGTTATTTTCCTTATTTCAATTCATACAGCTAAGTACGGACCTTTTAAGAAAACGGTCAAGAAATAAATGGCTATTATTTAGTGTGTGTGAATAGTAGTGTCCAAGGAGTTTTGACATCTGATATTTTACAGCCTGCTGTCTAACCTTTTCCTTCGGAAATAATGGAAATTTCTGTTGTACTCTTCAGAAACAAACTTTAGCAAACCATTGTAGAAAGCGTAGCAAATTCTTTCAAGAACTTCGTATTGCTTAAAAAAATTTCGCTCAATAAATTTTTCGTGACCATTTCTTGGGCATTTATAAAAACAGATTTAGTTTTTATTAACCCGTAACTTCAATCGCATTTCTGTTTAGATATAACGAGATAGGTCGATCTTCCATTCATCCGTCGATATGTATGCATGTAAAGAAATAGTTATGCCATACAAATTAAACAAAAAATTTGTTTTCTTTTTAAAAAATTAACTTAAAAAAATACAATGAAAAGACTAAATAAAAAAATTCATAAAAAATATTTTCCTCTGTAGCGCATTGCATGTCCGCCAATGCGCTGTTGGATAGGGATGCCAGACGTCCCGGATTTCCTGGTTTTAGACTATTCGTCCCGGTGTCCCGGTCCTATCTTAAAATGTCCCGGATTTGCACAAGCAATATTTGGTGATCGATATACCTATAATGCATACCTTTAAGTGCAAAGTGCCCTTCCTGATGCTAATTAGCCCTTTTTGCTAGTTTGTTGTTTGTGCATGGTTTAATTCTAATGTACATAAGTTTTCGCAAAAAAGTTTATAGAATATAAAAATGTGTGTTTATAGTGTTTTAATTACCCCAAGAAAATCCCAAAGAGAAAGTGTAAATTCCTTCCCGCTTTCACAAAAGAGTTGTCATTTGTTTATATTTTTTGACGTAATAGTAGCTTAAAAGAGAGCCTCACTGAGTTGCCCATCACACCATGTTTAATACATCTTGGCCATACCTAGTCATAAATCTAATATTAAATCGATTATATTTCATCCACAATATTTCATCTTAATGGACAAAGGAAATAAATTCCTTCAATATACAAAAGTTCATACGTTAAAAATTAATACGTCGTCATACGTATTAAATTAATTAAGGAAAAGTCAGAAGTTTTGAAACAAATTCACAGCAACGAAAAATATGACTGATTTTTTAATGATATCTTGTACTTACATTTTTATCATGAAACCTAGTGCTCTTATA